AGGGTGCTGGAATAGATAGGCCTTTGGTCTGATCCAGAAAAAAAAATCATATTTTATATTTCATATTTATTCTATTCCAGTTTAAGCCTGAGTGACTCTTTCTTTGCAAAGGAGCAGAAAAAAATATCTTTGGGACTTCAGGAAAATTTATACAGACCTGAAGATCAAAGAAAGGAAATTTCATTATACTGTATACTGCAAGAACCTTTGGATTCCTTGCATTTCCTTTTCTAGCTGCTAAGGATCACATTCTTTCCATCTCCTATCCATAAAATAAAGATTCAATCTAGACTTTTATTTTTGAACCTCCCACTGAATCTTAGCATGAGACATCTGCTTTGCAAGTGTTGTAAAACTGGACATTTATATGTGCCATACTATTTATGCAATCACAGAATGATAGCATCCCTGCCTAATGTTATTGCTATCTTTATTCCTGGAATTTATAAAATGAGATTCCAGGCAAGGCTGAAGCACAAGCTTATGAACAGGGTGACATTACCCCATCTATAGCTCCCACAAAAGACCAGCAATGACTTGAATATTGTTTGTATAATTTCTACACATATGTTACATACAGATCAAACATGGTGGCATTAATTCTGTATTGGATGACTTATAGAAATGATGACAAGTGTGGATATTTTGCACATATACAATAGCTGGGGAGAAGCATTATGTTTTCATAATATAAGATAAAATACAGCTTCCTTTTCCATTCTAATAGCACCCTTCAATAGTTTAGTACTTTCAGAGCAAGTATATGAAGTGCCCTCAGAAATGAGCCCTTTCTTTGACCTTGTCTTCTAAAATGTGTAGTGACCTAGTGTTATAAACCCTATAAATTCTATTAACCCTCATTATGATAATTAACATTATTAAAAAAAAAAAACCCTTTCTATGCAACATAGGGTGTGCTTGGCTACTAGGGCTGCTTTTCAAATGATAAGGAGGGAACAGTACAAAACAAAACCCCACTGGCCTGGCAGGTGTTCAAATTGGAAAGCAAAGTTCAACAAAGTTCAATGTGGAAAATACTTACTAAAGCTGGGTACCTGAAGGGGAAAAATGATTTTATGATCGATCAGAATATAATAATCGATACTGATTTTAATGCTTCTAGGGATTGAAATAAATACAGTCTGTCTTTCAATTATCAAATTTTTTTTTTAAAGAAAACCAGTGTTTTGCAAAAGACCTGGAGGCAAACAGGTCTCCAATATAACCAGTGTTGAATAGATATAATGAAATCTGTAACTAGCAACCGCATTCTTCCTACCAATTGTAATTGTAAACTAACATTAAGAACAATTCATTATGTATCATATTACAGTAACCTTATGTAGACATTACAAATACATGTGTCACTATAGTTAGAACAGCTTTCTATAGATAAGATAGCAATTGTCAAGTTACTTTAGTCTAATAGAAAATTTTCACCATTTCCATTTCAGATCTAAGAGTATTTCAAGAATGGGTACCTGGCCTTTTAATAAGGAAATGATCCCATTTGGTTCACCAAATAATCAATTCATAGTATAGACTGGAGCAACCTGGCTGCAAGAAACTATCAAATGCAAAAAGTCTGCAGAGCCAGAGGAAACATCATTGACTTCTTCCACTGGCCAGCTATTTGGCATGATCTATTGACTATCTGCAAACAGATCCTTGGTTTTCTGTTGCCATTAGTGGTGGAAACAAAGCATTTTTTTTCTGACAGGCAACTGAATAGCCTGACTGTGGTGACTGTAGAATAGGTTAGCTGGGCTTTGCTCAAACACATTAGTGGTGCAGTTGAGTAGAAAATGGAGAACACTTTATGAAAATGAGACTCAAGCAGATGAGTACATCATCCTTTTTTCTCCTTATTGATCTAGGCCAATGATGGCGAACCTTTTAGAGACCGAGTGCCCAAAACCCGCCTTCTGTCCCTGCTCCGCCTCCCATCCTGCCTGCTCCGTTCCTGCCCGCCCCTGCCACGCCTGCCTGCAGGGCCACGCACCATCTCCATGGCCTGCCGCAGCAGATAACCCAGGCAGCCCTGCAGCATCATGGCAGCCACGCCCTCTGTCCACACCCTGCAGCATCATCTGCATGCTATGGAGCGTGAGGGCGGGGTCTTATTCCTGATGCCTGGCTATGTCCTTGGCTGCGCTGCTCCATGCAGGCCACGCTGCTCCGTGCAGGGTGACTCTCCTCCAGAGGGGCTACTGGTGAGGAGGGGGCCGCAGGGAGAGGCGGGGCTGGGGCAACGGCACGTGTGCCCACAGAGAAGGCTCCAAGTGCCGCCTCTGGCACGCGTGCCATAGGTTCGCCACCACTGATCTAGGCTATGTGGAAAATATAGCCATCCCATTGTAAGATGTACAGTATGTTCTTTTTATACAAACATCCCTGGGAGTTATTAAATTGAACTTTGCTCATCTTGTCTAGTATAGACCATAAGCATCTTGCAGAATAGTATGACCTTCAAAGAAATCTCAGCTCCAGTACTTCTATGATATTCTTTGTGTCTGCTGCAGAAATAGCCATCCTCTCTCTGTGTGTGTAATAAAATAGAAGAAATTGAATGGGGGTCATAGGTTGATTTAGAATATGCAAGCTTTCAATAAAATAATTTTCATATGTTCATCTACGTATCAAAGTTGGGTACTAATCAAAATATTGTTTGTGTAATTGTTTTTTGGTAGAATGCCTGAAAATTTAACATGCAAAAAGTGCTTCAAAGAATGGATTGACCAACAGGTGTTTATTAATATATTACAGAGTAGGAGCAGAAACACTGAAGAACTAAACAGAAGAGTTTTAATAACATAATGGTGAAGATGCTATTATTTGCTTGAGGGAAAATATTTGCTTGTTTGCTTGTCTACTGGAATTGTTAGTATTCAAGAAACCTAGGCTGCAGTTCTTGCAAACTGCATTGGAAGAAGGGATTCAGGATTACAAAATATATTTTACAGGTTTTGTATTAAAGCCAGTATGATATATTGCATATCTCAATTCTCCTCAGCAGAATGATGAGCACCTGATACCCATAGGAGTACTTTAGCTCAAGTGCACAGTTCAAAATAGTCAGAATTTATACTACTTCAGAAAGTGTTGGGGTATGTACTTCTTCAAACAAAACAAATACTGTCTTTCTGAAGGTTTTTTTTTTTTTACTACTCCAGGCAAAATTTTAATATTGGTCAAGATATTAAAACATCTCCAAATATATCCATGTGTTTGCAATTTAAATACTCATAAAATCTGATTCTCTGGGACATTTTTTAACACCAATACTTTCTGTCTGTTGGAAAAAAAATAATCACCAAATATTAATGTCTCAAGCCTTTTTTTTCTGGGAAAGTTATACAAATCAACTAGCTGAAATCTGGACACAATGTCCACTACTGTATATAGTAGTATATAGGTCTGCCTATACGCTATTGCCTTGTAGAATGTCTACACTAGTTCATACTTCTGTATAAATTCTGCAGTGAAAGAGTTTGAATATTCCAAAACTTCAAGATACCAATAACATTCTAGCAAAATATACAGTATTTCCTACCACAGGATTACCCAGAAGCGGAAAAGTATTAAGTATAGTTTAAAATGTTTTGTGTATCTTTATTGAAAACTGTGAGAGTTATTTTATTCAGGAATAATTCTACCTATTAAGGGAAAACATATGAAGAGAGTTATCCCTGGGTACCCAAGACTCCAATTTACTTTTGATGATACTACCATGGGAGCTCTCCATGGTGCAAGACATTCCTCACAAGTATACGTATACCACAGAAAAAGGCTAAAATGTGAAAATCTGCTGAATAGCTTTTTTGGCAAAAATAGAAAGCACCTTTGATACCAACAAAAAGCAAGTGTCTCCCTATCTAAGGTAATGAAAAGGTTAGATTTATCTGTTTCAAGTAACACAACAAAGGCTTATTTGAATTTTGTATTCAAATTCTGTATGGAATGTTCATGCTAGCTGAAAGATGGCTATTATTATTCTTTCAGATTTTTTTCTTTTTCAGAAAGTCCATTTCTAGGAATTTAAGTTTTCTGCTTTGTCAGCAACTGGGGAAATACCAAGGTAAAATGATGCCAGTATGACACGTTTCCCCCCAGTGATGTTTTTTAGGGGGGAATCAGCCAAATCAGTTTATTAACCACAAGTATTGAAAACCCTTGTATACAGTCTTCTGAATTTTTTTTATGCTCCTCTTTCAAAATGCAAGGACAGCCTGCACTGCCTTGCAATGGATATATGTAGTAGTTCCATAACGGACAATTATCCTCCCTACCTCACTATTTCCATCTGTAAAATGGGCCAGAAAAATAATGTATGGCTACTTCCATTTTGCGGATGGAAATAGTGAGGTGAAGAAGTTTAATTTCCTATTAATTCTACCTAGCATTTTAAATAGTAACAATAAATATATTCTCAGGGTTGGTCAATTTTAATAGCTGGCTGTATGAGAAATTGGGATAATTTGTTTGTCTATTAAGTCTGAAGTTCTACGTATCTTTGGACTCACCTAACTTTATCATTATATTCACAAAGGAAAGGCATGAGAATTTGCCATTCACTCTGTATGTGTGTGTGTTTATATGCACTAGAAAAGAAATGTTTGGAGGGCACAAAGAAAAATCACCAATAAGGGCAATAGTGCAGACAGTTCAATCTCTGCTTAGACCTTAACATAGTGCTATTAACTAGACAGGAAGTGGGCACTATAGAAAAGGTTTTAAAAACAGAATAGTTAGACCCAAGCAATTAAATTAGAATGTGAATGTAATATCTCTTAATAAAAAAAATACTGAAACAAATGAGCCCAAAATTAGATGGTAACTTAGTATATTCTGCACTAAATGGCTAGGCTAGTAATATTTACAGTTCTTGTGTTCATCTAGTAAACATTATATCAATTTCACACACATGCTGTCTTAATACCTCTTCCTCTTTGCTTTTCAGATGTTTGGTCTTCTTCAGCCCATGCCTTCCACAAACCTACCTGCTTGTAGGCATCTAGAAGAAAGCTATTCCAGACGCAGCGCAAGCCCTCTGATGTGAGCATCCTTCTCCATTCACCACGTGCAGCCTTGGAGCAACTCAGAAGAAGCACCATGTGCTTCAAGAGGACCACCGAGTCATAGAGGGCGAGGAAAAGGCAGTTGGAGAAAAAAACCGGCAGGATCTGAAGTGTGATCAACAGGTCAATGCTTAACAGACCCATCTTGCTTGCCCTTCTTCTTCTTCAAAGGATTCCTCTGACTTCCCTCTTCATACTCTGTGCGCCCTCATGAAAAACAGCAGTAAAAATAATAAAATATAAAGGGCTTTTTAAAAATTCATACTGCTCCGTTAGCTCTCTTTCAAAGTTGGCTCAGTTCTCACTTCAGTAGAGCCGCTTAAAAGAAGAAGAAAAAAGGAAAGCACCACGCCAACATGAACGTTTTTCCACCCTGAGCTGCTTTTAATTTTTCAGAAACTCTAACTCAAACTACTGTTGTTTTTACTTAGCCCAAAGCCCTTTGCAGTCCCCTAAATACAAAGAGAGAGAGAGGCAGGGGGGGGGGGAGAGGGAGAGAGACAGCCGGGCTGCCAATTGCCTATAATTCTAAAATTGAAACGAAATAGGCTAACTTTCCTCTAATTTTCCTCCTATTTCAGTAGTTTTCTCATTCTTTTATTACCGGAGCTATCAGGTGAAATAATGCTTTTTTTTTCTGTCAAGGGAGGGCTCTGGAGGAAAGTCTTTGCACACAAACTTTCTGCTTTTCCCTCGCTGGCTGGGCTGGCTCTGCTCAGCCTCTCTCCCTGCCACTCTTCCGTCTCTCTCTGCCTCTCACTATCTGCCTGTGGTACAAAGTGCTTTTCCTCTGGAGTCCTCGCTTGGTTCCCTCAAGCCTTTTATACATTCCCTGGCTAATTGCTGCAATAGAGAAATGAAACCCTAATCTTAGTAAAGATCTTGACGTCAATGTAAAAGAGGGCTTTACTTTGGCCAGGACTACAGTGAATAGAAAAGTAAAATTCTCAAAACTTTCTCTCCCTCCCTCCTTCTCTCTCTCTCTCTCTCTCTCTCTCTCTCTCTTAGAACAAGAAGGGAGGGGGAGGGAAGAATGTTGCTTTGTTGTTAAAAAAAAAACCTCACAAACTAGATATCTCAGATGCACATTTTTCAGTCTTTTACACATGCTTTCAAACTTTGGGAAAGCATGTTCAAAAAACAGAGTGACACAGAAAAAGGGTATACTATTATCTAGAATTTTTCTCTCTCTTTCTCTTTTATGGCTTTCCCCCATTATTATTTTGCCCTTTGTATATTCCAAGAAGGTGTAAGGACTGATACATTCTAGAAAAGGGCACATTTTGGTACATTTCCCTCCCACAACTATCAACTACATCAGTGAGAGTTGTTTTAAATATCTTTTGTTGTCTTCTTGGTATTTAAAGAAACACAAGAAACACCCAGTCTGACTTCATCTGTTAAAGTAAGAGAATAAAAAGAACAGGAAAGAGAAGAGCACATTTAAACTGAGCATTGACTTATAGTTTATTTCAAAGGCAGCCTTGTCATTCCTTCTAGATTAAATGCTTCAAAATGCTATTTTACAATTTTTAATTGATTTTCAGTTATTTCCACCATGGCTGTTTCCTTAGTTAGTTAGTTAGTTAGTTAGTTAGTTAGTTAGTTAGTTAGTTAGTTAGTTAGTTAGTTAGTTAAAAAACAAAACTTACAGAGCTAGAGTCTCTGGAAAGGTGACCTGTGGATCTCAGATTATTGTGGACTTCTCTTGCATCAGGATAAAATCTGTTAGCGAAGTCTTCTCAGTGTAGCTGTGGAAACCTGGCTCTAGGTATCTGACAGTGTCAGATAACAGTTGGCTCCACCAACATACCTTCCAAAGGTTTTGTTATAGTGAATTACCTTCTTCTCTGAAGCAATAGAATGTTGTTGTTTTTTACTAAGTCCATATAAAAAGGGTGGAATGAATTTTCTTTTTCTCCCATGCAGCCCAGGGTGGTATACCTGAATAGAGTATAGGCTAATATTAGTTTTCCCTCCATCATTCATCTCTTAGATCTATATATTGTTATACTTTCTTATGACTGTTTTGCTGTATATTCTAAACAAGAAGCTTTATGCCACATGTAGCCCTGTAGGATTCTCAGAAAATTAACTTTAAAACTATTGATACCTAGGGACTGAAAGGCAGTTAGCTCTGTATATTCACTATGAAACTATGATTTGGACAATAGAACCATTCTCATGCATCAACCTATCCAAACGCTTATAAAACAGAATAGTATCTCAACATCTATAAATACCAGTTTCACCAACATGCTAAACATAAATGCATTCACTAGCATAAATACCATTGCATATTCCCAGGAGTCTTTGTGAGATGTTTCCTCTTGAAAATTACATTCAAATAAACATAATTTAATTATAATTGAAGATCATTTCAATATGATACCGAAAGGGAACCTAGAATAAAAGAACAACAAAGAGACTTAGCGTACTTTATCAGATTAAACTGGGTCTCTCCCTTCATATGCCTGTCTCTCAAACCACAAACATTCTGACCAATTGAACATAAGGGAAAATGTTTATTGGGAAAAAGGAGTAACAAGTATGCCTAATTTCCAGTACTGTTAAGATACTCAGTCAGAAGAGGATTGAACAAGTGACTCTAGCCCCTTCATGCCTGCACAAATGATATCTCTTTGCCTCAAAACTTATTGGTAGCCCTATGCCAATCATTATTTTTCTCTAAGATGCTTTACAGGATTGTTGTGAAAATAGGAAAAGATAAAATTAAATATGATGTTTTGAGCAACTTGGGATATAAAATACACCCATCAATCTAAATAAAATTAGTTAATAAATATTAAATAAAGGCTAAGAGGACATTCCAGCTGAAAGATTCACTGTAGCTAAACATGTTGAGAAGCTAGCAGGATGTTTGCTACCTTAATCCATGTCAGTCATCCTTTGTTTTTTTCCCATCCACAGGCCAAATAAGCAGGACTGTGAAGAGGGAACCAAAATATTGAAATAAGGCTTGGGGTTTTGCTTTAATTGATTGTTTTTATTACTTTGAATGACAGTGATCCTTCTTATTCAAATACTTTACCATACTTTGGACAGGATCCATTCCATTTGTGGGCCTGGGAAAATTGCTTTCAATTGCTTTCAGGGTCTGCCTGAAAGAAAGGAGTAAAATGGTGAATTCTTTTTCAAATCATACTTAATTCCCAGTAACATCATGGTCATGTATGAAAATGGTTTGCCACTTTTTCTTAGTTTTTTTTTTCTTAATTCCCAGACTAACCTACAGTTTCAAGATATCCTGGTGGGTCCTGCAGCATCGTACCCTGTTTAGTTTTCAAGATCAGCCATTACTCACAGGTACTGCCAAAAAAAAAAAAGGACCCATGTGCAAAATACAATTTTTAATTCCTATCGTAATATTTTCTGAGTTTTGTTAGCCTCATCTCAATCAAAAAAAGGAGTCAGGAGATTATCTAAAAAAAATATTTTCTTTAAAAAGTTTATCAATAATGGATACGGCCACTTCAAACTCATTCGTTTCTTTTTAACTTCATTTGTCTGTTAAATATTGTGTAGTTTTAGCATGCCATATTTCAATTTATTACAGAAAAAACCTTCAAAGTTCAAAGATATAGGGGAGGAGAGGACTAAATGCAATAATAGTATGACAATCAGAGTCCTTTTCTCTTTAAAATCTCTGCATCTGTAATCCAAATCTGTGCATTTTCCACTAACATAATAATTTTCCCTCCCTCCAAAGAATTCTGCAAATTGCCCATTAATTTCATTGCACAGAATGTAGTACCAGCTGCTGACAATAAGATTCAGAGTTGTTCTTTTGGGTGTAGCCCTATTAGACTCAATTTCTTGGTGATGCTATAACACAGAGAAAGAGCTTCAATACTAGCACTTAGGATCAGTAAAATCATGGTCATTGTAACAAGCAGGACAAATATACAGAAAGACCAATATATTGCCAAAATTTGTAGAGAAAGACCTAAGTGGAGATTAAAAATTGTCCCCCATCCTAAATGATTTAGAGGGGGGGAAAACTCTCGGATATTCCAGATCGTGACCTATTTACACTGGTTATAGAGTCCAATGTGAGAATCCAAAGGTGTTTTTTTCAAGAGGCAACTGGACTTCCTTGTTTTTCTTTGAAGAGATTCACTTTTCATCCAAGAAGCTTCTTCAACTCTCATTTGAGAAATACTAAAACCTATATACATAGCTCCACCCTCTTAATTTGCAAAGCACTTTGTCAATTTTGAGTTGTGTTAGAAGATATCAAAGAGTAGGAATAAGTGAACTTTTTAAAAATCTAAATAGCCTGTATAATCTTTTCTCAATGTATTTTTGTCAAGTGGGTAGCCATGATTTTGGGAGCAAGGAAAGGAGGAAAGGAAGGAAAGAAAGAAAGGAAGGAAATGGCTTAGTCACTAAATGTTCCTATTGAGTGTCCAGTGAAGCTAAAATCATAGAACATCCATTTTTATTTCCATCTTATTTATTTTACTAATTTGTTCCCAGCCCATACTAAACCTATCAATGCAATATACAATAATAAATAACAAGTGGAATTGGTTACTTTTAATATTTCAATTGAAATAACCTCATAATGACAATATCAATTAAATAAAACTTTTCTACCTTTCTCCACATCTCCTTTTAAGAGTCTGAAAGTTATAAATGGACAACTTCAATTTCTAATCAATCAGCACAGTAAGTAGCAAGTACAATAGAAGGAACAATGGAGTAAAAAATAAGTAACGGACTGTATGGCAGCCTCTGGGCAAATATAGAAATGTTTCATGTAAAAAAGATTCCTTTACTAGCATCAAGAGTAGGACACTGCATCTTGCTAGCATTAGAGTTCTTCTGTATGCGAAGAAACAGGTGTATTTACTTGACAGAGTAAAGACCTCTGTTTTCCTGGTCCTATAAAGTTCATTTCCCATCATGGGATTGTGTGTGTGCTTATGCCTGATTAAAAACCATGAGCCACACATGTGTTATGAATACAGAAACATGGTCAACTACAAAGGAACTTTGATGAGCCAAAAGCATTGGTGAGAACTAAACTGAAATTTCTGGATTCCAATGGATACAGCCTTCAATGAACTTTTCTTCTACTTTTGGGAAAGACAGCAACTCCCCGAGATTGAGACATTGTACAAACTGTACCTTTGCAAAGGACATCATATTCTGTGAAAACTTGCTCTGCAAAGTTTTAATATAGAGTTGAGAAATGTGGGCCTTGCCATATGCAGTGCTGACGAAATTGGATTAGCTCCGCTATTTTATGCTTCTGGTTTATTTGTGATATTTTATTGCATTATATTTGCTACTTGTTTTGCAGGTGACAAGATCTGGGGTGGAAGTAGGATCCATTAATGCTATGAAATCAATAAACAAGCAAATGAAATGCAATAATAATAGAGTATATGGTAGATCTCTACTGTAAATATTCTTTTTCTTGCATTACAATTACAATCATCAGACCTGGCCAGCCTGCTTTACGTTACCCTGCCCTCTGTGATTCATCAAGTAGATGAGATCCCAAGCACTCTCCTTCATGCTGTATGTACTCTGGGATGCCTTTTCTGCTGAATTCCATCTGGCTTATTTAGTTCTGTCTTTTAGAAAATTACTTCAATGAAAAGAAAATGCTGACATTATTCTGAGGGATATGCCTCCTTTCTCCCCAAGCACAAAAGAATCATAAGCATTGCTTTTATTCTTGTAAAATACATTTGAGGATCTTTCCTCCTTTCATTAATTTAATAACCTCCTAAGACAGGGGTGTCAAACTGTCCGCCCGCGGGCCAGATGTGTCACGACGAAACCGCGCCTACCCCTTTGCTGGCAATGGGGGAAAAGTTCCGATATGTCGCGCGACATCACGTGATGTCACAAGTTTGACATGTCTGTCCTAAGACTAACTTAATTAGATGGTCTTTAAAACTAGGACCATTCCATGTAGAAGATAGCATCAGGGGGAATATAATTTTCTTCATTGTCATAAAACAAATAATCTGCCTTGAAAGAACACAGACCTGGCCGTGCATTTTTTATTTATTTAAGAAGGTTAATAAATGTATATTCTTCTACTCTTTATATACCATGGTACATATATAATACACAAAAGAGTTGTCCTCAGCTGAAATCATATTTTTGCTTAAACTCATATTTCTGTGCAAAATATTCCTGAGAAAAGTTCTTTGTGTCTTCTTTTTTTGCTTTTTCTTATTAGTTTCTACATTACTTTGGTGCTTTTGCATCAGAAGTTAGTGGGATGAGGTGGGGGGAAACAGACAACAATTTCTCCTTCTATCAGCAAAATGTACTCTGAAGCCAACAATGGCGTGCTCTCTCCTCTAGGGGTCGTGCATTTCACTTAAGAGTGTGAGAATATGTTTCAGCAGATAATATTATTCATGTGCCTTGCGCAGGAACTTGCTTGTCCTGTAATAATCCTGAGAAGGAGAAAGACATTAAAAGCATTTGGGCCCTAATCATAATATCACTCTTATCTTTGCGGTCCAAAGAAGACGTGACAATTTGTTGTGCTTCTGAGTCCTCAAAAGAAAATCTATTCATTTGACATGAAGTTCATCTGTCTAATCTTAAATGACACAGAGAGCTCTGTATCTTGGGCAAAGTTGTACACAATACTCACATGAACAATGTGAAAATCACATGGAAGAATGTATAGGATAATTATACGCATTGAAGCATTTTAAGCCCATATAGTAACTTCATTGAAACTGGGTACA